TGATGCCAAGATTCTGTAAACTGTTTTGGATTCTATGTGAAAGGTTTGTTTAGTCAATTGTGTACTCAATCACCTAATTACAGCAGTATGGACTCATGGTTATTCTATACTTTTGGGTTACAGTTTGATATATTTTGTACAAATTCCAGCTTTGACCATCAGGACCTCTCAGGTGGCTCCCATGTCCCTTCAAAACTGGTCTGTGTGTGATTTTTGGCACTACCAAATGCTCTAGGCCTACCTGTTACAATTCCTGCTTAGCCCTAGAAATAGTCCTGTGGCAACTTTGTTTTCAATATGCTGTCTGCTTTTTTCCCCTTGAGTTTTGTAAGTTTATACACACATGTATTTGTGTGTGTATCCATCTCTATATGTACATATATAAATCCTTTGCAGGACAAATGTATCATAAATTTCTCCTATGGCTTCTGTTTCACTTTCAGAAGGTGACTTAAAAATTTTCTGTACCTACCCTGTAGGTATAGTCCTCATAGTTTTCCCACCAACGCAGCACCTGTGCGCCATCACCACAGTCCCTTGTGCTCTTCCCTCCCGCTTTTGACCCCACTCCTACTCCTCCCTTCCCTTGCTGTTTGCTTCAACTCTGGTCAAGTAGTAAATTCTGTCTTATTCCTGACCTTTTTTTTTCAGTCTTTATTTATTCCACCTATAAGTGAAACCACCTGATATTTTTCTTTTTCCTTTTGACTTATTTCACTGAGCATAATCCCTTCCAGCGCCATCCATGTTGCTACAAATGGCATGAATTTATCTTTTTTGATTAGAATAGTATTCCATTGTGTATACCACATCTTCAGAAGGTGACTTTTAAAAAAAATATATTTATGCATACAAGAACTGGGGTGTAGACTAGAGGTACAGGGGGTGAGGTGAGTGGATTCACCAGAGACAGTGGGAAGCAGAACAGGTGGATCTACTGAAATAGATTGCTGAGGGGAGCAGCAGGTGAGATAGGAGAGTTTTGCTGTGCCACGTGGGATAGCTCCCTGGCCTGGGATAGGTGCCCCTCTTGCTGAAGTGGCTGGCGCTATCTTGATAGCACTGAGACTTTAGCCCCTGCGCCACCAGGAAGGACCCAGAAGGTGACATTTGATGGGGGGAAAAAAAAGTGGGCTGTGTCCTATGATGTAGATAGCAGTTTTCCCATCTCAAAACTAGTTTGACCTGGAATGGATTCTTAAGAAAAGTCCAATCTTGATGGTATTTACCCTAGCTCTAACTATTGCTAGCCCTTAGGCATTTCAGCTTCCTCCTGGGTGTTTGTCCCTTGTATTCTATTCCTGTCCTGTCCTGTCTTGACCCTTTGTTCCATTCCTCAACTTAATTAGCTTTTAACCTTAGTGACAAAATGGAGTCCCTCTTTCTTTGACATTCACTTGGCAGGCCTAATAACACAGATTACTCTTGCCCTCTGGTGCTTTTATAGCATGGCTTTTACTTGACCATGTCCTGGTCCTTGCACCCCATCTGGCTTTAGTTACTTGGCTAGTACCATTACTAGGTTTCCCTCTGCTTACTTGGAAAGGTGATGATCAAACTATGGGAACTGACATAAAAATTTGCTATTGCTTTTGATGATGAAAGTGATTTTAGGGCCTCCCTGGTGGCACAAGGGGTTAAGCACAGCACTGTGAAGCTGTCCGCAGCCTCTGCAGCACAAGTTTAATTCCTGGCCGGCCAGGGAGCTACCCACATGGCGCGGCAGACCTGTCTCGGCCTCTGCTCCCCTGAGCTGTAGTTCAGCCAGTCTGCCTGTTCTGTTCCCCAGTCTGTCTCTGGTGAAGCCTCTTATCCCTCTGCTCCTCTGGCCTGTATCCCAGTTCTTGTATGCATAAATATTTTTTTAAAAAGTGAGTTTATTGAATTCCCTGGCTGGCCCCAAAATTGTCTAGTACCAGAGAGTACATGAGCAAATACCATCCTTATCTTGAGGTGCTTTGTAGTTTTATTGGGGGTGGGGAGACTTCCAAGAGGAACAAAAATTAGAGAAGAAGAACATAAGGAAATAAGTAACCTATTATTAAGGGCTAGTTTGTGTGATAAAAGATGACAAGTTCTAGAAATTGAAGAAGTGAAAAGACACTGAGGGCTGGAGCAGGTGGGGAAGTTGTGATAAGGTGGAACTTGAGCAGGAGCTTGCAAAACTTGCACAAAGATGGGGTGGCAGGATAGAAAGACCTGCCTAGTCTGGAGGTAGGAAGCTGAGAAAATAGATGGGAAAGGTTTGGGCCAGACTAGACTCAGAGAGGTCGTAAGAGTCATTTAGAGAACTTTGAGAGTTAATTCTGATGGCCAGTGGGGAAACTTGGTGCCTTTCTGAAGAGATGAGAGAATTGAAGAAATGGTGCCTTAAGGTTAAAAATTGAAGAAGAGTAACCTGATAATCAGTATGAAGTTGGATTGGCAAAGGCGAGGAAGAAGAGGAAAAGTAGATAATCACTTTTTTTTTTAAGCATGAAAAGAAATTTGGGGGTTTTAGTGGGCATTTGTTATTTTTGCCATCCACCGTTCCTTTTCCCCATTTCAGTGAAAACATCCCTTATTCCCTCTGGGCAAGCTGTCTCCTTCCTCTAGTCCTGAGACTATAGGATACTGTCCTAGAAAACAGTCAGCACTATGTTTCAAATACCCTAAATATGTTTGTTCTTTACTCATAATTCTATTATGAGGAATTTTAACAGAGATTTATATAGGGATATCATATTAATATTTCTAAAAGTTTAGGGAAATGCCGTGAACGTATTGGGAAATAATTGGGGGAATGTTAATGGGAAATTATGGGAAAATTTAAAATGATATTGAAGAGTTTTTTAATTTTGGGGGGGGTTTGTAATAAACTCACATGGTGTAAACTCAGGGGTCAAAAGATAAGAAATGAAAAGTAGGTCTCCTTCCCTCCTCTGTTCCATAGCCTCTCTCCCCTCTTCAGAAGGAGCCATTAAAAACATGTTTTCGGGTCTCCCTGGTAGCGCAGCGGTTGAGTGCTGGGTTTCGAAGCTGCCCGCGGCCTCTGCAGCGCCGGTTCAATCCCCGGCTGCTCCCCGGCCACCAGAGGAGGGTCCTACATGGTGCGCAGACCTCTCCTGCTGCCCGCTGCTCCCCTCAGCAGTGTACCTCGGTCCTTCTGCCTGCTCTGCTCCCCGCTCTGGCTCTGGTGAATTCTCTCACCCTCCCGTGCTTCTGACTGTACCCAGTGCTTGTGTAAAATAAATAAATAAATAAATCTTTAAAAAAAAAAGATAAAAACATGTTGATCATTTCATTATTTATAATTGCTATAGTAGTATAATTTCACTTTGTTAGTAGAATCTCCCAAATTGGTTATTGACACTTAGATAGTACATATTTTATTTATCTTTTTACTCACAGCATCTGTCCAGGATATGGGGCTAATGAATGTTTGAGGAATGAATATTTTCCTGCAACGTGCCTGCAACCACTTGCTATGTGTAATTTTGCCACTAGGTGGTGGAAGAAAGTTAAAATTTGGGGTCTGAACCCCACAAATAAAGCACACTGTACTCTGAGAACTTGTAAGACTCAAAAAATAGATAAGAATACATTACATTTAAACTCAGGCAATTAGAAATGCATCTAAAATATTTCTTCCTAAATATTAAAAACATTCAGGAAAAATGTTGGTGTTCTCTCGTCTTTCAATTTGTTTCATCACCCTAGTTCTTTCCTTTTTTTGATGTATATATATATATTTTTTCTTATCCCTCCTGCAATTTGCCTGTCCAGGTGCCCACCATGGCCTGTGCTGCCCCCGATGGTGCTGCCATGCTTTCCTTCATTCTAACCTCAATCTTTCCAAAGAGATGAACAACTCCAGAAATAGATGGGTGTACTTGGAGTGACCCCGGGCTGGAGGCCAACCCTCCATCTTCCTAATTAGGTGTGACTCCATTAGAGGGATTTTTATCACAATGGGACTGGGGGTTGCACTACCTTTTAACTGTCGGTTGATTGTGTCTGGACCAACTAAAACCTGCTCAGGCAAATACTTGCCCTTTCAGGCCTGGGTTGTGGGCTGGGCATCAGCCCTGGGTATCAACCTTGACCTTCATTCTCCCCTTCTGAGCACTCTCTGGCCAGGGTAGGTCTGTCCTGAGATTCTTTGACCCGGGGCCTGTTTAGAAGAGCAGAGCTCTAACAGATTTCTTCATCTCTTGACGAGGCTGAGCTCTTGGAGAAGTCAGTCAGCCTCTCTGGCCCTCAGTTTTGGCTCGGGGCTTTGCCAGAGTCCTACACTGCTCCAGACTCCCTAGGGTGTTGTCTGACTCCCTAGGGTGTTGTCTACGGGAGTGAAAGAGTGGAGGGAGAGGAAGGCCCCTGGAGTGGAATTGGAAAAGGGTCTTGAGAAAGGGGAGAACCGAACTCAACAATTACCAGTGACCTTTCAGTGACTTTGAGACTAAATCCTGCCCGGGGGCTGATCGGCAGCGCCTCACCTGGGCTCACACTACTCGCTGAAACCTGCCTAACTTCTACACCTCCCAAGATCGCCGACTTTGTCCATCCCCAGGCGTTAAGGAGCTGACACTTGGTCCTGGCGACCACCCGCTGAGCAGGTGGGGACCCTTCCCCCCGCCCCCCCAGAGACTAGAGCTCTCCGCGCCGTGGCTCGGTGGCGGTGGGGGAGGGTGTCTTGTGGGCGGGAACAGAACCCAATTTGGGAAGCTCCTTCCTATCCTCAAAGGCTTCCTGAAGGAGGGGGGAATTTAGGGCTCACGATCTGGTGGGTGCCTGACGTCGGGGGGCTTAACTCGGCCGGGGTGCGGGCTCCGGACGCGGGAGCGGGGGGTGGCTGGGGCCGCGGCCGCGGCTCCGACTCGGAAGGCGTGGTCTAGCGCGGGGCGGGCCCGCTGCCCGCTGCGAGCTCCGGAGTTGGGCTTCGCCAGGCGCGCCGTGACCGCCCAGCCGGCTCCCCGAGCGCGCGCCCCGCTGCCCCGCTGCCCGGCTGCCCGGCTGCCCCGCTGCCCGCCGCAACCCCCGCGCGCGCAGCCATGACTCGCTCACTCTTCAGAGGAAACTTTTGGGTAAGTCGGCTGGGCGGGCGGCCGATCGCGGGGCTCGGACTCTCCGGGTGCCAGGCCAGCGCGGAGCCCGGCGGCGGGCGCCCCAGTTCGGCGCCTCTCGGGACAGCGCGGCGCTGCGCACCCGGCGCCCAAGGGTCTGGGGGTGGGGAGGGCCCTGAGCCGAGGCGGTCGCTGATCCCTCTCTACCCCGCTGCGTCCCCGCCTGCGTGTCCGCCGTACCCCAAGTCTCCGGTGCTCCTGGCAGCGCAGACTCAGACCGAATGGTGTAACCAGAGCTTCTTGGCGTCGGGGCATCCACCCCTCATCTTGGAGATGAGGAAACCCAGACCCAAAGGGAGGGAGACCCGTGCAGCTTGAGTCGCGGGTCTTCCTGGAGGCAGCGCCAGGAAGGATTTGGGGAACCCTAGTAGGGGCCTGGGGTGAGATGTCACGGGCTGACAGCTGTAGTCACTGGCGGAGTCAGGGGGTGTCTTTCCCAGTGGACAGGCTGTCTGGGCTCTGGTCCTGCCCGACTGTCCCCTGCAGTCCCTGAAGGGATTCGCTGGCAGAGGCTGAATGCCCTGGACCACAGCCCTGTTTCCTGAGCCCCTTCCCTAGGCCTTTGCCCCAGTCTGCAGAGAGACCCACTCAGGGTCGAGATACTTTTAGCTGGTGGGGGCTTCAACACCCAATCTGGAAGCAGGGCATCTTGCCTCCCCACTCCCTCCACCTCATTCTCCAGGTGCCCTGCAAGAGGCTGTGGCCCCTCTTTTGGAGAAGCCACCCTGATCCCTTTATCCAGGAGTAGGACATCAACACCCTTCAGATTAAGCCAGGCTGCCCTGCTTTTTACTTTGGATCCTACTTGGCCCCCCTTTGTCGTCACAGATACCTGGCAGGTCTGTACCCCTATGGTGGGCTGCGGGGAGAAAACTGGCTTTGTGGCCTCAGGAACGCAGGTTAGAGTTTTTGAGGTCCTCCAGGGATACTACCCACTTGTAGGGTGCAGGGCAGTGGCAGCTTCACAGAGAGGGTGACACTCACAGCTGGCCCTGTGAGGAGGCCTGGGATTTTCCAGGGTAGACTGTAGAACTTTTGGGTCGCATGACAGGCATCGTGGACAAAAACAGGACAGAGAGAGCTGCCTTCCCTCCCTCCTTATATCCACAGTGTGACACCCAGTTTTCAGATCTTGAACTAAGCGCTACCTCTTCAGGGAAACCTTCCTGATTTCACACAAAATACATCCTTCACCTGCTTACATGGAGCACGTTCTGACTCTTTAGAGCATTTGTCAGTTCCTGGTTTTGCATTTGGGGGCCTACAAGCATGTGAGCACCTTGTGGGCAGGTACCAAACTGGCTTTCATGCCACAGGTATGTATGCAGAGTGAGTGCTCAGCAAATCCTTGCTGAATGACTGGAGTGGAAAAGACCCACAGGGCATGTCACAGGGTGGAAGCAGTTTCTATTTTCAGAGGACCCCCAGGCCACACATTAAGGCAGTCCACGTAGTGGCCCCATGCAAGCTTGCAGGGATAATTAGGGGAGGGGGCTGAGGGAAATCTGGGTTGGAAGTTAGAGATTGTGTGAAAGTCAGGGGAGAGAACTTTCTGGGATTATATTTCAGAAGTTATCTGATATCCTAAAATACCTTGCATAAGTATCTTTCATCTCCGCTTTCCTGTGACACTTCATATCATGTAACAAAAACAATAATAGATGACATTACTGTGTGTAGAGTCTGTGGGAAGTGCTGTTCTAAGCGCTTCACACACACTAGTCATTTAAGCCTCACAACCACCCTATGGGGTAGTCACTTACTATCTCATTTTACAAATGAGGAACTTGAGTGGCAGAGAGGCTGAAAAACATTTCCCTGGTCCTAGGACTCTTAGGGCCTTAGCAGTAAAGTAGGATTCTGCGTGGACTAAATGCTTCATGAGTGCCTTCAGTGAGGCTGGGGCTCAGAGAGAACGTTCCAGCATCCCTGGCTGCATGGCCCTTTGACACTGCTAGAGGTATCCAGTGGATCACTTTTGGCTCCTGAGGGGTAGACTCTAAATGTCACCATCATCTGAACCCCCAGCACCTGCCATAGTGCCTGGCAGATGGATGCATAGGATTCAGACAGATAGGGCATTCAGCCAGGATTTAGGAGAAAAGGGGGCATCAGGGAAGCTATTGGAGACCTCAGGGACTGCTGGCAAGGCTTTCACATCTCACGGTTTAGGGGAAGCAAGGCTGTTGCTGGAACTGAGGGTATGGCAAGAACTTTAATGTTTCCAGAATGAGAAGGTTGTGATTGGATAAGGTAGGAAAACTTTGGAAACAGAAGGGGATCAGTTGACTGAATTTTTAAAATTAATTTTTATCATTTATGCATAAAAGAACTGGGGTGTAGTCCAGAGGTACGGAGGGGGAGAGGATTCACCAGAGACCAAGTGGGGAGCATAACAGGTGGATCTACTGAAATACACTGCTGAAGGGTTCGGGGATGAGACAGGAGAGGTCTGCTGTGCCACGTGTGTTAGCTCCCTGGCCAGGGATTGAACTCATGCCTCAGTGGCTTGCAATAGCTTGATAATGCTGAGACTTAACCCCTTGTGCCACCAGGGAGGCCCAGTGGACTGAATTTAATAAATATTTATGAAGTGCTTGCCCTGTGTAAGGAGCTTTAATGGGGGTGGCATTAGCAGCAGCAAGATTGCCACACTGGTTAGAAGATAGATTCTACATGAGGAAGCGAGGTTGGGCCAGCTTTTTTTGGCCTTGAATGCCTGGCCTCAAGGATGTGGAAGAGCTAGTGGCAGGGGGTAGGGAGAATCTGGCAAGCGTCAGGGGAAGAAGAGGCTGCAGGGTGGAGAACACAGAGAAGGGGAAAAGATGAGGCAGATAGGGCCTCTATGGTGGCGCAGGCGGTTGAGCGACGCACTGTGAAGCTGTACGCAGCCTCTGCAGCGTGGGTTCGATCCCGGCTGTGTGAGAATCCCACATGGCGGGCAGACCTCTCCTGTCTCACCTGCTGCTCCCCTAAGCAATGTATTTCATCAGTCTGTTTGTTCTGTTCCCCACTCTGTCTATGGTGAATCCTCTCACCCTCCTGCGTATCTGGCCTATACCCCGCTTCTTGTATAAATAAATAAATCTTTAAAAAAAAAGACAAAAAAAAGATGAGGCAGATGGAAGACTCGAGTATAGGTAGAGGGTAGAGGAGGTGAAAACCATAGGACAAAACAAGTAATTGAAGGTGAGCTACATTTGACTCATGAGTCAATGGAAATGAAATACGGGCCCAGAAATAAGGAAGTCAGGAGGAGGAACTGGTTTGTGGAGAGAGGAGGTGGCAGAGGAGGGAGAAACAATATTAACCATACTGAACCATAGGGGTAGCACCGGCAAGGCCAAAGCCAACAACATCCTGAAGTTCCCACCCCAGTCCAGCCCTTGACCCCTGGACCATGCTGAGGTGGCTGGATCTGGGGAAGTCTTGGGGGAGAGGGAGGGTCCTGTGGTGGAGACAAGGGACCTGGCAGCAGGGTTTGGAATTATTTTCATGTTTTACTGGTGCAGACATGTTCAGTGAGTACTCTCTGATGTCAGCGTTCCGGATGTTAGGAGGTGGTGGAGATGGCCCCGAGCCCTTGGGAAGGGTGTCCAGGTGTGAGAGCTCACAGAACAGCATGAGGAAGGGTCATCAGTTATCAGCAGAGGCTCTGGCTAGACTGGCCTGATTCGAATCCTGGATCTGTCCCTTACTTGCTGGGTGACCTTAGGCAGTTACTTCAACCCCCAAGCCCTCGTTTTTTTTCTATATATAAAAATGGAGATAATAGCCGTGTCTACTCCATGGGACTATTATGTGAGCTAAATCAGAGTTCAGTACAGTACCTGGAACATAATGAGCACTTGTGATCGTCAGTTATTATTATCATCAGCACAGAGGTGCTAATTAAAGGAAGTGGGTGATAGTCATTCACTGAGTGAAGGAAGACATAAAAAAAACCCCTCTTGGCAAATGCCTGTGTCATGCAGGAGGAGAAAGGGCAGAGAATGAGAGGCAGAAATCCAGAGACAACCGAGAAAGGACCATCATAGGCCCAAGAGCGGAATGTTCCATGGCCAAGTAGAGGTCTATTTAGGTACATGTTCCTGAAAAGGTGTGAGTCAGGACATACTTTACACATTATCTTATTCAAATGCCCTATGGAAATACTTATCTAAAGGAAACTTTTGATGGGTCTGTTTGAGAAGGGAAGACTCAGCTCTATTTAAAACAGGATTGGAAAAATAAATAAATAAAATAAAGTAAAATGGAGATTGACCCCAGCTGAGTTTGCCTGACCAGAAGCATGCTTTTGTGTTGTTTCTCTCCTGCCTTTCTCCCACATGAACCTTCTTTGTGGCCCATAAGACAATCCATGGTACTGTGAAGACCTCTTTACTGTTTGCTGTTAGATGATCAGCTCCATGAAGTATGTCCAGTAGTGTAGTTCCACATCCGTATAGCTTCCAGCAGGTATCAGACCCTCAATGTGGGAGTGAATGAAGGAACAATGAAGAGTGAGCAGCGTATGTGGCTGTGGATAGAGGTTGCTCAGCTAAGGAGACACTCTCTCCTCACACTTCCCTTTTGAGGGAAGGGTCTCTCCACAGGCCTGGCCAGTGGTCCTGTACTTTGGAGATTGGGATGAGCTCTGGCTCCACTAGAAGCCCCAGACCCTAAACAGGGCCAGTACTCAGATGAAAAGCAGAGCCCATGAACATCTTACTAACCACCTGTGAGACACCCTATGACCAACAGCCAAAACACATGAATGGCTGAAGGGAGGAAATTTCTTCAGACATTAGCAAATCTCAGGCCGTTAACTCAACGGTTCTCTATGAGGCACTGAGTGGTGGCTGCTGTAGTCACAGAGGGGCACATAGGACATGTCGCCTTTAAGTGATTATAATCCACTCAAGGAACTGAGGCTCACCTGATATGTTAGAATAACAGTTTTTTTTTTAAGATTTATTTAT